AGGTGGGAGCATGGCATGGTGCAGCCCCTTGAAAAACAGGCAGTTTTGCATAATATTGAACACAGAGTAACCATGTTTCAGAAGTTCCACCCAAAAGAAGTGAAATCATATATATATAATTTTTGGGGGCGGGTACCGGAGATTGAATTCGGGTCCTTGTGCTTGCAAGGCAGGCCACTGAACCACTGAACTAAATCCCTGGCCCTAAAACATATATTAACAACCTTTTCTTAAGTGTTCTCTGAACTTTATTCACAACAGGTAAAATATAAAAACAGTACAAATGCCAATCGAGCAATAAATGGATAAACACCACATGGCACATCCACACGACAATCTCCTAGAGGCATAGAAAAAGGCATGAAGTACAGATAAATGTCACAACATCAATGAACTTCAAAAGCTAAGTGAAAGATGTCAGCAAAAGACCGTTGAGGTGTATGATCTCATTATAGGAAATGTTCCTGAAAAGCAAATACGTAGAAAATAGATGAGCAGTCAAAGCTCAGGGTGGTGATGGGAAAGGGCTGCTAATTAGCACAGGTTTATTTTGAGGTGATGAAAATGCCCTCAGACTAGAATGTGGTGATTGGCTGCACAACTCTCTGAATGTACTAAAAACCATGAAACTGTACACTTTTAAGTGGGTGAATTTTATGGTATATGTCTTAATAAAACTGCTTTCTAGAAACTCTGCTTCAACTACTCACTCATTCTAAAGCTAGCCAGCTTTATTTCTTATAATTCATCAGTATAAGCCTTCTAATTTGTACACTTAGTCTAATAAAAACCTCTTGCTTAATTCAATTCTCCAATTCTTCTCACATTGTTCCCGTTACTTGGAATACTCTTCCTAAAGTACAGTCAAGTTACATGTTCATTGTGCAGACTTTTCTGATCAACCCTCATTAACAATATTTTTCTCTGTATTCCATAATGCTTATGACTGGTGACAGTCATATATATATTAGATAGATAGATTCACCTTATTTCCCAGAAATTTCTAGTCTCCCACAGCCTCTTGATTCTTGCCTTAATCTCTTTCATCTTCTTAGAGATAAACTACAGAAATGTCTGGACTTATGATGAGGCTATATTCCGATAAACTATAAATTGAAGATATTATAAGTCAAAAATGCATTTAATACATGAAACCCACAGAACACCACAGCTTAGCAACACAGTACAGTGTAGTAGGTATGGTTGTTTACCCCCATGATTGTGTGGCTGAATGAGAGTTGCTGCTGTCCAGGGTCATGAGAGGGTATATGTATCACACACTGACAGTCCAGAAAAAAAGATCACAGTTCTAAATTTTAAAATATGATTTCTGGGCTGGGGTACAGCTCAGTGGGAAATGTTTGCTTAGCATGCATAAGGCCCTGGGTTTAATCTCCAGCACCACAAAACCAAAATATGGTTTCCACTGACTGCTTAACACTTTTGTACCATCATTAAAGTAGAAAGTTGTAAGCTGAACCATGCTAAATTGGGGACCATCCACAGTTGCCACATAATTTTGGGAACTTAGGGCCTTAAGACAAAGAAAAAAACAATACTGTAGGATAAGTAATATCAAGGGTGCATAAAAGCATACTCCTTTTCTTTTAGCAACTCTTGTCAACTCGCCAACTTTACAGGCCAGAACCTCAACTACATCTTTATGTTCCCATAATGCTTAGAACATCTTGAACACAGATGATACCAAATGTCCACTGAATAACAAATGAATGCTTTGAATACAACTTTTTACATATGTATTTGGCAGACTCCAAGCCTTAACAACAGGCAGAGTCTGAAAGAAGGAAACAGAATGAAGAACGCTAAAATGATAGGACATGTATTCACTTCTCATTAAGAGTATTAGAAGTATATACTACTGCTGCGCTTCTTTAGATTTACTGACCTCAACCCTAAATGTATACTAGGCATCCTATCTTTAAATGAGTACCAACACTTCGGTAATGTCTCAGAAAAAAAGGCCATTAAGAGAAGCAAAGATTTAAATATAAAAGTCCACCTCATCCTAAAAGTGACCACCCAGATTCATATCCTTTTACCTACTAGAAGCTAAGAGGAAATTAACAATGAATCTTGGATGGACTAGAGATGTAGCTCGGTGGCACTGTGTCTGCCTGACAAATGCAAGGTCCTGAGTTCAAACCCTGGTACCAAAAAAACCCAAAACAAACAAAAAACAATGAACCTTGGAATGATAGAGGCGTGTAAGGCGAGTTTAAGAAGGAGCACTGCAGTCTGGCATGTGGCACATGTCTGTAACCCGAGAAGTCTGGAAAGCTGAGGCAGGATGATTGCAAATTTAAGCCCAACCTGAGCAACTCAGTGAGACCCTGTCTCAAAATTTAAAAGGGGTGTGGGGATGGGGATTTACCTCAGTGATGCTGCCGCCTGCCTTGCAAGCACAAAGTCCTGAGTTCAATCCCAGTACCCAAAACAAATCAAAGGGGGTGAGGGTGGGGCACTGGGGATACCAGTGAAATGCCCTAGAATCAACTGCCAGTACAAAAAGAAAAGAAAAAAAAAAAAAGGATGCTTCCAAAGGATAAAGGGTTGGCAGAGGCAAAAGATGTCTTAGTATAGTGGTTGAACTTTTGAAAGCAACAAAACAGGCCACACATGGCACAAAGCCACGGATTGCTGAAATCAGATCTAGACCCTAACTATAGGAACCTAGGATTAATGAATCCAAGAGCATATCCTTTTATGCACTCTGAAGAGCCAAGTCTAATTCCAATATGTAAAACTCCTCTCCCTGTCCCTGAAATAATATAAACACAGAACACTTCTCACTTTTTTAGCTTTAGGAATACGTATTTTCTTCTTCCTATTCATACTTACCTGCTAAAAGGCTTTGGATTGTTTAGAGGTCAAAATACACCTACTATAATCACACAGATCTGCTTAGGAGATTTCCCTGGTAGCAAACCAGTTACTTTATATTTATCATTCTTAAAGTTTGTTGAAGAATTTTTTAACTTGTTTGATTTAGCTCTCTTTAAAATTAGCTTTTTTGTGTAAAAACTCCTTTATATTGCACTTTTGCTTCTCTGCCTTTATTTTCTAACATTTAGTGATTTAGATTAAGGGATTATGAAATGTATTTAAAATAATTTTTCCCCCCACTTTCAATACTTCAGACAAATACTAAGATGCAAAAGAGAAACAAATATCTACAAGAGAATGTTTTTTAGAATATACTGGTATTTTATCATTTGTTATTTCTTTGAAAACATACACACAGGTGCTAATATTCCTCCTTTAAAATGTTCAACATACACTTTTATTCTGCTTTATTCCAGTAGGCTAATTAACATCAAAAGTTCTCCAAGTCATGTATGAAAAAAAGATAGCATTTATTATTCTTAATAATGACTTTTATATGTTGGACAACCTTTCCCAGTGAATACTTTGTTCAATAATATAAAGATGAGGTATCATTACCAAGAGTCAGAAAGCACTAAAATAAAGAAAACAGTTACATACAAATCTTTCCAGTTTACAGAATCAACCAAGTCTTTACAGAATCCTTACTTTTAGTGATAAAAAAATTGGCAAATATATAAAAGAATACAAAAAGCACAACTCATCTATATAGTTCTGTCTGTCCACTAGTATACTACTGGTCAATGATTTGAACAGTTCTAAAATTGGTAAGTAAAAGGCTTTTTTTTTTTTAAAAGTACCCACAAGTAAGAAAAATTGGTGGGATTTTTTTGTTTGCTTGTTGAGTTTTATGTATTTATTTCTTAATCTGCAAAAGGGATAGGCTAACAGGAGCTCAAAAAATGAATGCTAAAGAAAAGAAACTAAGTGCTTTCATGGAGCATATAGAACATAAGTTATTTCTTATGACAATGCATTTGCAAAAGAATTTGAAAAAGAAAATACATGTATACTTTCGAATTTTTATCTTATCTTTCAAAACATGACACATTCAAAATATTAACTGAGTTGAATTTGCAAAAGAAATATCTTGCAAATGGAATATGAACTTAAAAATTCACTCCTTTTAGTCACAGTGCAAGTAATATGGCTAGCAGGGTAGGAAATCAGAGCATATGGAATGCGTTTTAAGGATTACACATAATTTTAGGTGCTAACCATGGTCTTAAAAAAAAGAAAAACTAAGTCAAAAGTCTGTATTTTTAAAATTAAAAATTTGTCAAATTCTAAGTCAGCATATGCCTATTATAAATGATCTTAGTTGTTCTGTTATAGAATTAGTACATGTTTGTAGTACATGTTTACATCCTTGTATAGAGTTGGTACATGTCCATAACACATCTTAATCCCTTCTCATCTCCTTTCGCTCTCTTCATCTCGAGTCCTTTCCCATTTGAGAAAGATCTCCCTACTTTTTATTATCTATCTTTTATTTTGCTCTTTATATCTATATTTTTGGATTTTTCATATAAGAGAAACTATTTATTTATGCTTGTGTGTCTGATTTATCTCATTTAACATTGGGTCTCAAAGTGCATCTATTTTCCTACAATTGACTCAAATTTTTCTTTATGGCAGAGTAGTACTCCATTGTGTGTAAATACCACTTTTTTTGTCCATTCATCTATTGATGGACACACAGGCTGCTTCCAAGATTTATCTATCATAAATTATGGTGCTATAAACATGAGTATGCATATATCACTGTAATATGAGGTCTTTTCAAATAGAATTTCTAGTTTTAGTTTTTTTGAGGAATTTCCATACTGATTTCTATGGTAGTTATAATAGTTTGCATTCCCACCAACAATGCAGAAGTGTTCCTTTTTCCCATGAAGCCTCTCCAGCATTTGTTATTTGATTTCTTGATGATGGCCATTCCTTCTGGGGTAAGATGGAATTTCAGTGTTGCTTTACTTTGCATTTCTCTAATTACCTAGGTCTTTTATCCAAACACTTTTATTAAATTTAAAACAAACCCTTAGGAGAAAAATATCAAACAGCAATATGTCTCCAAGATGAGAATCACAACTTACCTCAACTTGAAAAAGCTCTCCAGCCCCCTCACAGTCATTGGATGTAATTACTGGGGTATGAATGTGCACAAACCCACTGTCCTGGAGGGAAAAGTTAAACCACTCTTTTCAGTATATTTGCACATGAAACAATTTCAAGAACTTACACTGTGTTAAACTATTGAAATGGCACTAAGAGATCCTCACTAGGTTCTACAATATAAGACTGTTGAAGGAGCAATTGAGTGTTTGACTATCCACAGAAGCACAGGGAATTTTAAACTGGAACAGACTCGGACATAAACTTAACCAATCTCTTTATTTCAAAGATAAAGACAGCGAGTCCCAGAGAAATTTAGTGAAATATCAAAAGTCAAACCACTTAGAGCTAGGCATGGTGACCCAGCACTCTGAGAAGGTGAGGCAGGATCACAAGTTCAAGCCCAGCTTGGGTAGCTAAGCCACTTAGTGAGACCCTGTATCAAAATAAGAAAATCAATAAAGGACTGCAGATGTGGTTCAGCATAAAAGCCCTGGGTTGGATGCCCAGTACCGCAAACAACAAACAAATAAACAAACAACCCATTAGTCAGTATTCAACCTATTAGTGAGATTGGAACCAAGGCCTCAGGCTTTCTCTTAAAGCTATTTCCCCTTCTTACTTCTTAAGATACTGGTGATGATTTAACAAACACTCAAGATGGCTAAGGGAAAGCAAAGTGACTGATGTGAAATGTGGTTATCTTAGAATGAAACCTCAATTGTAATGAACCACCAAAAAGGAGAAAAAGTAAGACAAATAGACTGAAGAAAAATAGCAAAAGAGGGAGGAATCACTTTTACGGGATTTTTGTCATTCAATCAATGGTATAATACATTGCATGTAGTACAGGCAGTGTACTTCCTTTGCCTGAGGAATATTCTGAGCAGCATCAAGTCCATCCATCACTTAGGCGTCCAACTGCAGCCCTTCCTATCAAACGTCTGAGACTACTTCCATTAGCGACCCACAAAAGCTGTTATGTTAGGATTGAAATAACCCATTTACTTCAAAGTTATACTTCTTTCATTCTGATTATGGATCTAAGCAAAAGGTTTATTAGGCATAAATGTAGTGCGGTGAAAGTCAAGGCAGCTGAAAGTGAATTTACATACAAAGGCAGAAGTATATTTAATGCTAAATTTTAGCCCGAAACCAATACGATAAATTCATACGTTCCTATCTCTGCTAAATTATGCCTGACATAGATAGAAAACAATACATCTCCAGGCATTATCAACAACCTTGCAAATATGACCCTTTCTCATTTCAAGAATTGTGGCTACAATATATTTAGTCAACAATTTGCCTTTTGATAATAGACAGGTTAAATATTCAAGCTATAAACTGAGCCTCAGAAAGTATTCAAATATGTAGTTAAACTGAGAACTATGAGCCTAGAGGTTCTGTGCAGAGAACATTGTAGGGAGCCAAAGAAATATAATCAATAACATTACTGCATAAAATTTTTATCTCCTACGAGCCCAGAATTATAGACATGAATAATTTATTCCACAGAACATAGGCAACTATGAGCATGAGTGCAGTAAACAAAGAAAGGAAGCGAAAATCCAAAGGAAATGAGGGTGGGAAGGGGAGGCAGAAAGAGAGGAGAAAAGTTTTAATGGCCAAATATAATTGTCCCAAGTTAGACCTAGTTATATCAGCACTGTAAATATGAGGTAAATAACTATACTGTATAGGATTTTTAAAACTTCCCACAATCAGTGGGAATTACTTTTAATATTTAACTAATGCTAAACCTTTTGAAAGGAGTCACCAGCTTTTTAAGTTGTGATACTTCTAGGAAGGCTTATCAAAGTTTACAATGTCACCAAAGGCTATAAAGGAGAGTGTACAAAGGAAGAAAAATAAAAGAGTATGAACAAAAAATTTTAAAAAAAGAGAACATGGGAGAGGAAACAGAAAGGAAGCTGCAAAGAGAAGTGGAATACTGTCAGTATCTGCCTGAAATGAGTGACCGACCAGTGGCCGGGTACTTAGACCACCCTACACAAAGGAGTTCCTAGCTAGAGATATGACGGTTAAGGAGGAACTAAAACACTTCACCCAGTTTTCCAGATCATATCTGCCACTTCCAAATAACTAAGTATTTTGATACACATTCTAGAGCCATGTATTTTATGAGGCAATGAATATCCAAAATTAAAAAAATTTATATACTAAAGCCCATATGCAGCACTCAGAAGACTAATGGACTATATTCTTCTTTCACATATAACAAAAAAATATCATCTTTAAAATCAGCATCAACAAAAAAAGCATTGTGAGAAGAACTGTCGAAAAGAGGTACATCACTGGCCAAAGGTAACAGCAGGAGGAGATAAAAAACTAAAACCATAAATCTATAAAAGGCAGCCAGCCGCTAACACTCAGAAGCACAGAAGTGTGGGGCTGTTCAACACAAGGGTAAAGACTACTCCGCACTCCACAGCAGGCTTCAAAGGACAACCCTGAGATACACAGCAAGACAAGAAAGGACAGTGTTCCTACTGCCTCACTTGAGAAAGACAGGCATGTATGCAATCCACACACCAGAAAACATTGTGCCTCAAAAGAAAACTCTTCAGTTATTTGAGAAACTTGGCTCTTCTAAATGACTCATTCTTGAGGATTCTAGATAGCCAAGATTTAGTATACAGCACGAATCCGTTTTATGAGCAAACCCAATTTACATAAATTTTTTTTTTGTTTGTTTGTTTTTGTTTTTTGAGGCAGGGTCTCACTATGTAGTTGCAACTGACCTGGAAATCACTAAGTAGCCCAGGCTGGTCTCGAACTAACAGCGATCCTCCTGCCTCAGCCTCCTGAGTGCTGGGATTACAGGCATGCGCCACCTTCAGGTTTCTATTTATCTCACATTCTGAATTTTTATTGATTGAATTTCAAATTTATGAAAATTTTACATTTTAATTTTTTTATACTGGGGATTGAACCCAGGGTCTTCGCTCTGAGCTATATCCACAACTCATTGTTGTTTTTTAAATTTTCAGAAAGCATCTTGCTAAATTGCCCAGGATGGACTCAAACTGATGTATTCAAATTTCTGATCCTTTTACATCAGCCTCCCCTAGGATGCTGGGATTATATTCTAAGTCTTAACATGTTTAAAGGGAGCCCTCAAAAAAAATCAAGAAAATAGTACCAAATAGTAGATAACTATTATTTAATGTGTCCTACAGTGACTTCTGTAAATAATTCAACCCTACATACAAAGTGGAAACAGAATGAGGCATTATATTTTTGAGGGGATTATATTTTTCAGGGCTTTACAATTAAAAAGTGATTTATGCTCTTCGCCATCTTTCCTTTTGACTGCCCGCTACCGCCATGAAGGTCTAGCTGTGCAGTTTTAGCGGGTACAAGATTTATCCAGGACACAGGAGGCGCTATGCCCAGACCGATGGGAAGGTTTTCTAGTTACTTAATGCAAAATGCAAATCTGCATTCCTTTCCAAGAGGAATCCTCAACAGATAAATTGGACTGTCCTCTACAGAAAAAAACATAAAAAGGGACAGTCTGAAGAAATTCAAAAGAAAAGAACACGATGAGCAGTCAAGTTCCAGAGGGCCATCACTGGTGCATCCTTGCTGATATAATGGCCAAGAGGAATCAGAAACCAGAAGTTAGAAAGGCCCAAAGAGAACAAGCTATCAGGGCTGCCAAGGAAGCAAAAAAGGCTAAGCAAGCATCTAAAAAGACCGCAATGGCTGCTGCGAAGGCTCCCACAAAGGCAGCACCTAAGCAGATTGTGAAGCCTGTGAAAGTTTGTGCTCCCCGACTTTGTGGAAAACGCTAAATTGGCAGTTCAGATTTTTAAATAAAGATCTGTAATTCTAAGAAAAAAGTAATTTATGTCATTTGAAAAGTGCTTTTATAACTATCACCAACAGTGTTAAAATTATTATTTTCAACCACTGAAATGTTTTTAAATTAATTTTACTTATTTCAGTTTCCCAACTTCTTCTTTTATTGTATTTATTTATTTATTTGTTTGCTTGTTTGTTTTTGGTACTGGGGATAAAACTTGGGACCATGTGCTTGCAAGGCTCTTGTCATATTTTTAAATTCTTTGCATATTTATAAAAGCTTCAAGTAATGTATAAAGTAGGTAAAGTCTACTCATTACTAGATTGCCAATACCACCACCTGGTGGCCAACAATTGGTAAAACTTTCAGTATTAAAACAGGTCTATATTATCAGTTATTGAAGACTTTGGGGAAGAGAAATTTTTACATTTGAATGGATTTTATGTATGTGTGCGTCAGACACTACTGAAAAGACTCATGGAAATTTATTAAGTTTATGACAGGATATGTAAATAAGACACTTTCAAACTATACTGGGATGACATGCATAATGTGATTTATCTTCCTTTGTTAATCAAAAGAACATGCCTTGAAGCCATAATGTTCTTTGGTAGTTTCACCAGAAATTAACTCTGATGGAGCTTTTCAAAGGGCATGACCTCTCTTGGTAAGCTACAGCAACACTGGGAATGTAAGAATTTGGATTCACCCCAAGGGAAGGCTACACAACCTGTGCAAATGAGCTGAATCTGAAAAACACATGGAATAGCAATGAACTTTATCTGCAGGTCACCTTGGCCTTTGGTGTCCTTGCACTGACAGGAGAGGAAAGATGCCTTCAACTCAGTAACATGTGAAACACATTCTACTGTGGCTTTCCCAGGTTAAGAGAAATGACTGAAGAACAAAGAAAAAGAGACAAAATGCCTTTAGTCATCAGAAGAACCTTGAGTAACACCAGTAATTCTTTAAAATGAATGCTTATTATCCATAAAATATATATTTATAACCAAAATGGAGAAACAGGGAGTGGATTTATTCTCCTTTGTGATACAACCACAAGACCAAAACAATAAAAACAAAAGATGAATCATTCGAAATAATGATTTTCAAGGCACTAGATATAAGAGAATGAAAGATAGTGATCTCTGACTGGTGGGAATGAATGAGCTAAGGTAAGCCTTACACGTCTCCCAGCTTACTAAACTGAGATTTTTGAGGCCACAGCACAAAGACGAAATTGGGTGGAGCCCTGCAGACTCCGAGTTGAGAAGAGACAGTAGAGTCTCTAGGAAGATCAAAGCAGCTACAGTGCATAGGACAAAGTGTCAGAGGGAGAGAACTGAACAGAGAGAACTCCAGAGATCTACAGAGGAGCATTAGTAGGTGGCAAACTGATCGGCACAAGTACAGAGGAAACTATTCAAGACTGGGAAAAGAACTGTCTAAAAAGATTAGGTGGGCAGGTGGGCAGGTGTGCCGAGGCACATCTGTAATCCTGGCTACGTGGAAGGCAGGAAAATTGCAGGTTAGAGGACATCCTAGGCAACTTAGCAAGACCCTGTCACAAAGCAAAAATAAAAAAGGGTTGGGGGTGTATTTCAGTGATAGACCACTCTGTACCTGGGTTTGATCCTTAGCGCCATCAAAAATCAAAAACAAAAAAGAGCCAAAGAAAAGAAGAAAAGAACAGAGAAAACAGGGTCCAGTGCTTATGTGCTGGCTGGATGCTACTGTAAGTTAGACTAGAAAACTCATGACAACATATTAGTTGCAGCCGAAGGTTAGTAAATTTGAAGACACAGCAGCACTATATACCAACTACCCAAAAGAGAGAGAGAAAAATAAAAAAAATTTTTTTGGTACCAGGGATCAAAATCGGGTCCTTGTGCCTGCGAGGCAGGTGGTGGCACCACTGAGCTAAATCCCTGGCACAAGAAAAATTAATTCTTAAAAAAAAAAAAAAGTACATTAAGTGGGCTACGGGATATCAAGTGGCTTAATACAGTATATGGATAACTTCCATTCCCAAAGGAGGTAGTAGAAAAAAATATTTTAAAATCGCTTAAAAACTTTCATGAAAATTATAAACTCACAGATCCTTGAAATTGAAAAAAATCCTAAAAGACAAAAATGCAGAAAACTGTACCAAGGCACATCACAATCAGATTGGCCAAAACTTAATGAAAGAGAAAATCCTAAAATCAGCTAAGGAGAAGAGACATAGGTCATACAGAGAAAGAGACAGAGGAAGAAAGATGACATGAGATTTCTCACTGGAAGCAAAGCAAATGAGAAGACAACATAGCGGCAACTTAAAAGCATCATTCAAAAATGAAGAAGAAATGAAGTCATAGACAAAACAAACTTTTGGAGTCATGGGTATTCACTATCTTACAGTTTCATGGTCATATACATATGCCAAAATTCATCAACTTGTACACTTTAAGTACAGTATTTTATGTCAATTATGTCAGTAATGCTTTTACACACACACACACACACACACAGAGCATATACATGCATGCTTGTGACATCTGATCCTATACTGAACAAATAAAGGGTGCTCAGGAATCAATAACTAACAGAACTCGCAGGAAAACTCTAGTGCTAAAATTTTTGAACTTCTTTACGAAAAAAAACAGCTGGAAGTGAAGCATCTTACCCTAAAGAAGGAATGAATAGCAGCTGTGGCTTCACTGCGAATCCTCAATATAGATCCCAGAACATTTGTCCTACACCTAAGGTGAGGGTACTGTCTCAGGTACTCCAGAGGATGCCTCTCTTTATATTTGATAGGGAATGCCTGCCAATAAATGAAAACAAATCAAACATGTGTTATAAAACTAGTTTCCAGAGCACTTAAAATATATGTAGTAATACTTTAGAACAACAATGCTTTCTTCATTTTTCAATATAACAGATTATGCCCATATTATTTACATTAATAATTATTTTAAGTAAAACTATAAATGGGTTCAGAGAGATGTAGATTTAAAGTTAGCTCTACTTATTAAATTATTTAATACCACTGACACAGGTCATTTATCAAGTTTCTACCATTAGCTGTCAATCACTTCTTATAAATACAGAGCTTAGCATATAATCATACAAAATTGACTGGCATACAAGAGTTTAGAATACTACATTGTAGATATTAAAGAATATGTGTTCTACCACTGTATACACACAGCTGGTGTTCAATTTTAAAATTACCCAAATGTCTTGAAATCCCACATTCAAAAATTGGTGCTGTTTACAACTGTTTGTCAGCAAGTTATTGGTGTCTAAGAGCATGAGGGATGGTCAACAACTTTCAATTAGCAGAATACTGAAGACTTAACAAAAATATCAAGGGAGATTATGGCCACAACTTGAAATATTTCCATCTTTTCCACACTCAAGTTGAAAGATTAAACATATAGATAATATATTCTTTCAGACAAAAACAAAAATTCAATTAAAAAAATATAATAGGAAAGCTAAAAAGATCCAAATCGGCAGCCTGTTTCTTTACGTCTTCTTTTTAGGTTTCAGGCACCTATCAATTTTTATGTGACATAGAAATGAGCACCATATTTTAAAATGTGGCCAGTTTAATAGTCATCTGGGACTGCTGTGGGTCAGAATTCCCTCATGACTGAACACTTCAAAAGAGACAGAACTAAGAGGAAGGGAAAATAAAAGTATCAACACCAAGAGAAGCTAAGGGAGAATTTAAGAGCAGTGAGACACAGTAAATGTTTAGTCATCATAGATCCCTCTGAAAAAGTAAAAATGAAAATTGTTACTATCTCTGTTCCTCTCTTGATTTCCAAATCATTTGTCTATTTTCCAAAAACCTTACAACCTGATTCCTTATTTTACATGTCAATTTGAATTTCTTGGAAAATTATTTGGAATGACAATTTTAAAGAACACATTTTCTTTATTTCCTTACACTTACTTTTTCCTACTCTAAAAGAACTAAAATTGAATTAAAATGATTCAATTTCCCTATATTTTCTTATTTTTCACTCATCAAATATTTGAAGACAATTATAGCAAAAGACAGGTGCCAAAGGCAGGAATATGAATTTCAGATGTACCACGAATCATTTCAGTACTTCAGGCACACTACTTCCCCAGGCTGGGCCTCATTTTCTCCATCACTATAAATTTAAGGAGCTGCATTGATAATGGTGGCCATACACAGCTGCACAAGACCAGCTAATGCCACTCAGGACCTCAAGTTCCTATTTTTTAAAAACTAATTTACGAGGTTGTGGGGAGAAAGGAACCCTTCTCCATTGTTGGTGGGAGTACAGACTGGTGCAACCACTATGGAAATCAATATGGAGATACCTCAAAGAGCTTGGACTGGAGGTTCCATTTGATCCAGCCATCCCTCTGCTGGGTATCTTTCCAAGAGAACTAAAAGAATCATATCACAGAGAAGTATGCGCACCCATGTTTATAGCGGCACAGTTTGTAATAGCTAAATCTTGGAAACAGCCCATTTGCCCATCCGTTGGAAACTGGATAAAGAAGATGTGTTTTTTCCATAAAATGGAATATTACTCAGCCATAAAGAACGAGAAAATAGATTCATTCATAGGAAAATGGACACATATTGAAGATATACTCCTAAGTGAAATAAATAAGTCACACATGTGTAAATACCGAATAGTTTCCCTGGTGTGAATAATCTGCAATAATACATAAGATCCTAATGAGATTACTGACATCTAGAAATGGGAAGAAAGGAGCTAAAGGTGTAGGGAAGGTGGGATGGGTAGGGGAAGGATAATAAGAGAAAAGAAAAAATATGAGATAATGAAAAAATGAAAATAAAGTGTGTGTAGATGGGGAGGGGAGGAGGGGGTGAAGGGAGGGCAGGGGTAAGGGGAAAAAATGAGAATCAAGATCCCAACAATGCATGTAACTGTACTGTATCCCTAAAATGTACCAATAAACTCAATTAAAGCTGAAAAAAAAACCAAAACTAATTTATGATCCAACACCTAAAGGTGACCACTGCCTCTCTTGGATGATCAGTTCTAGATCACCCAAGTCATCTCCAGCTTTTCTAAGAATGTGAAACCGAAATGGCCCATTCTGGTATGCCTCTGTCACTTGGCGGACCAGGCATGCTTGTAACAGAATTGAGCTTCAACTGTACCAAGTATCACAGGATACGCAGATTAATACTTAGCTCTTACTTATAAGACTGAGTCATTTACACAATAGTTTTATTACAATCCTATAGGCTGTATGGACTATTTCAGTTATCAGGGAAGTCACAACTGAAACATGTTCTAAATGCCATCTTCCCAATAATCATACTTAAAAAAAAACTGCTAATGTCGCAAATTAAGCCCAAATAGCCTCCACAAAAAAGATCAATAAACATACCTTGGCATCACAATTCCCAATAACTTTAATTTTTTCTGCCTTCAGTTCTACATTTTGCCTTTTGGATGGACTTTTTATCAGCTGCCCTTGGATTTCCACAGAACTTCCAAAAACCAATTCTCTACAGCAACAAAAACCCAAGATAAATAAGATATTATTATCACATATAACTTTCATCTAAATACATATCTTGCTATCAGAACATTAAATTACTTAATGACAGTATATACCTTCAATTAAGTTAGTCTTCAGATTTTACAGGTGCTGTATGTATGAAAAAATTATAAAAATTAATTCCTTAAGTTTTAAAATTTAAAAAAAGTAAATAAATTTGTATATAGCTATTCGTATATAATTATTCTTATAAAAATAAATTGTCCAATATACTTTTTACAAGATGGAAGATTATATGCAAAGACTAGTGAAATAAAAATTAGGTCTATAGTATTGTTGACAATATTACACCAAGGTCAATTCTCTGGCTTTGACAATATCTAATGATAATCGGGAAAGTTGGGTGAAAAGTACATGGGAATTCTCTGTAATATTTTTTTAATGTCTTTTAAATTTTGTTATTATTTCCTAAAGATAGCTGGCTGATGGTATGAGTATACAAAGACTTTCTGATTAATAGGTTTTCATTCTAGTTCAAGTTTATCCACAAATTAACTGTATGACTACTATAGACAGTGATATAATTCATTTGTTTAGGGCCAGGGTTTTAGCTTAATGGTGGCGCCCCCTGCCTTGCAAGTGCAAAGACCTGAGTTCAATCCCGGCACAAAAAAAAAAAAAAAAAAAAAAAAAAATTAATTTGCTTAAAGAATCATCTATAGGACTGGGGATTTAGCTCAGTGGTGCTGCCTCCTGCCTTGCAAGTGCAAGGTCCTGAGTTTGAGTCCCAGTACTGGGGGTGGGGGGTGGGGTCATCTATAAAAATCTGGTCGAGACGGCACACACCTATAATCTCAGTACTGAGGAGGCTGAGGGAGGAGGATCATTGTGAGTTCTTGGTCAGCCTGAGTTATACAGTGACTTCAAGGCCAGCCCGAACTATACAGGGACACCATGTCTCAAAAACAAAAAGAATCATCTACCAAGGAGTTGCAATAAATGTTCATAAAGGGGCTGGGGATTTAGCTCAGTGGTGCCACTGCCTGCCTCACAAGCACAAGGTCCTACCAAAAATAAATAAATAAATAAATAATTGTTCATAAATCTGTTTTAGTATATCATAATTATAATATGGTAAGTACCTTCTTTAGTAAGTTATATTAAAATGTTCCAACAGAATTAACACAAACTGTATGAAAGTAAATATGTCAGGACACTCCACCTAGTTTTGCTTGTTCCATGTAATCCATTTAAAATCAATTTAATCCATTTAAAATCTATTTTTACATAATATATAAAAATTAAGATTTTTCACTACTGTATCATAGGGCAAAACAAAACAAAAACAAAAGCAAAAAACCTCGTATACTGTCATCCAACCTAGGAGGATATTTTGAGATGCTCTAACTTAAAATACACACTACCTGACACAAGTGAATTTTTCCCTGGGGGCTCTTGAGAAGGCAGTCATTCTCCCAAACCTCTAAAACAGTGGTGGTGAACTTACGGCACGCGTGCTGCAGTTGTCTGTTTATCACTGAAAGCTCTAAAATGTTTGCCATCACTGTTCTAAAATTTAGGTACTATTACAGATTAATGCGATTGCAATACTGATAGATATTATCAGAAAAAAATACAAACTTCTAAAAAAGACTACTTTATAACAGATAATTTTTTGTTGTTCTACCCTGTTGGCCAAATAAGTCTTAGACCATGAATCTATTCAATATGTGGACAACATTAATCCTAATAACCCTTGGAATAGTGGAGCACTCTTACTTTAACAAACTAGAATATTGTTCTGCCCCTAAAATCTTATACCCTAACTTAAATATGGTGCTCATCTAACATGCTGTGTGAGACCATAAAAGTTTCTTCTATTTATTCAACAAACAATAATTCATTAATTTGTCAGCACTGTGCCAGAGGCCAAACACACAAATAGGCAAGAGACACCAAATTCTAACCTCAAGGAATGAAAAGTCCTTAAAGGAGTGAAATAAGAAGAGTCGACTGCTATTCAATGCAACACATTCTAGGACAGAGGTGCTATAGGATACTGAGGGGCAACTGACATAATCAAGGGGCAAGAGCATCAGGTGAAAGAAAGGTGAAGAAGCTGAGAGGCTGAGAGGCAGCAATATGTACAATAGCTAGAAAACAATAAAGAGAACAGATTAAAGTAGCTGTAAGCAGTTTAGACAGACAAGCAAAGCACAGGTAGAAGACAGCTTGATACTGAAAGGTCATGATTCCAAGTATTTGGACTTATCTCCCTGGGCAGCTCCCAAGCCCATTAAGTCAACACAATCAAACTTAACCATCTTGCCCCTTGCTAACCTGACACCCAAGCACATTTCCCTAAACCATTATTGACTGACTAATTTTTATGAGACAGGGTCTCACTATGTAGTTCAGGCTGGCCTTGTAACTCACCATGTAGCACAGGCTGGCCTCAAACTCACGATGATCTTCCTGCTTCAACTTGCTGAGTGCTAGGATTATAGGTCTGTGCTACCACACCCAGCCCTAAACCATACTTAATCCCCAAATAAATACAAAGTCATAATTCTGCCTAATACAACAATTCTGCATACAACCAAAAACGCAACAATCCCTTCCCCAGTTTCAACATTTCCAGTATTTCTCAAAAGTCCAAGTCTCTTCTAAGATTCAAGGCAAACTCTTAACTCTAAACTTCTGTACAAATGAAAAACAAAGTGTCTGATCCCAAGGTACAGTAGCACAAGGTAATATCCCTATTTCAAAAAGAAGGAATAAGGGGGCAGAAAAGAATTGGACTAAATGAGATTAAAACCTAGCAGGGAACACATTAAGTTCTGTAGCTCCATGCATAGCACACAGGGCACAGAGTGGCAAAATGAGAATGCCAAAGGGCTTAGGTGACCCCACCCTTATGGCCTTGCTGTTTGCAACCCATAAAGCCTCTCCCTTGGGTTGGCTCCACTCAGGCTTGCAGCTTGCTTTTGCAGTCATTTCACATTTCTGGCATCTCCAACTTCCTAGGGTCTCCATTGCACCCTGCTTTAATCTGTTTCATTCACTTCCCTCTCAGGGACTCCTTGCCTTGTCTCACAGGCACTCCTTTGAAATCAGGGTGGAAGTCTCTCTGATCCCACAACTCCTGCATTCTGCATGCTAGTAAAACTAATATCACGTGGATGACACCAAGGTCTGCTATCAACTGGAGCAGTGGCTGGGCCCCCTTGGACCATGGATGCAGCAGCTTCTGAGTATCTGGATTAGGGAAGTGGGGAACATTATAGATGGGTGGGGGGATTAAAGAACTAAAAAACAAAAATACCTCACAAAAACTTACTTGCTATCAAAGCCTGAATCTGCAACAACTTGAAGGCTTTCCAAAGATGACCCGTCATTTACATGTAGGAACAAGACCTCCTTTTGGGACCTGACTGAACGAATCCATCCCTAAAGAAGAGAAAAACTTTTGAACACAAGTTTAAATTTGTACACACTTTACATTTTCATTACACATACAAACACTAAATGAAAGAAAAATTGTACTCACAATCTTGCCTCAATATATCAACTGCACAAAATGAACTTTTAGTTTGCCTACATGCATACATAATTTTTATGGTTCTTAACACGGTGGGATACACACTTTGACATCCTACCTTTTGTTCTCTTAATGAATTTCATCATTCTTAATGGGTGTGAAATCAAGTTGATGAGCCTAGTTCATGTAAGCAACCCGCTCAAACTAATTTTTCCAAAGTATCCCCTCCCATCATTACAAACAACAAGGTTTACATCTTGGTGCCTTTTTGCATTATCAAATTCCCAAACCAAAAAAGCTCTCAAAAGAAGTCACAATATGAACACATATTAAGTAACAAACTTTCAAAGACACTTTTAAATTTAGATGACAGGTACATGCCATACAAATGACAGGTCTTCAGGCAGACCAGTAACACTAAAAACAGCTCTCCCAGATATACTTAAATATAATATAGTAGTCAAGAGAGAATAATGTTCTTCTAGCAGACACCAAACGACTGTAAAGTATCCCATAAATGTAAAGGTAATGAATAGACATAGACATTCACCATTAAACACACTGAGAAAAGCAAGAAATGATTCCACATAGAAAAGCCATTAGTTATTTTGTTTCTGGCTATAATCTTGAGATGCTGTTATCATTACCCTTTTATAACTTATTTACCTGTCCATAATGCTTTAAGGGAAAAAAATGCTTGTTTTAAAGTATACTGCCAGGTATATATATGCAAATCCACAGTTGCTTTTTGGTGAAAGATATTTACCATTTAGTGAATATGTACAATACAAGAAATATCTTACTACCATCACAGGCTATCTTGCTTCCTTCTTAAAATGGTCCCAAGTATTATCATACCCACTTACACATTAGAAAACTGAGATTCAGAGAAGATAAATAACTTGTTCATACTCACTACTGGTAAAGTCAAATATATTTGACTGGGAAGCCCTTGATCTTTTTGCCAGGACTACATGATGAAATTTAAATTCACACAGCCTCATGTACAAGGCACTTCATCTCACATTTTCCCACAGGCACCTGCTTTTTTGTCATGTTCAATTAATAGTAATTTATGAAGCACCACTCCCTTATTTTTACTCAGTAAAAGTTAACATTTTAATGTGTTTCTGTTCTAAGTTCTTTGTACATATGCTACTTAATCCTCACAAGAATAAAATGAAGTGGTTATTCTTATTTTTGAAAAAAGGAAACATTTAAAGAAGAAAACAGTCCAGATCATAGTTACCAAGTAGTAGAATTGGGATTCAAATACATACACTCAATCCTTCAAAGTTTATGTTCTTATCAATATACTTTTCTGGAAAGTTATTTCCATCCCAAGTTCAGTTCTTCTGTTTGGGGAACTCAACCTGAGGTTATTCACAGTCCATCCCGTTAGTCTACCTGGGGAATACATTCTTTAGGATTCAGGTGAAATGTCATCCCATTTCACACTGCTGACCTCCTAGTTATGGAATTCCTTTTGTTTTTTCATAGCCCTTTATACCACTAATAACAATAACACTGTTATAGACAAGGGCTGTCCAAAAGAAATATAATGCAAACTATGTAAGTAATTTTGAAGTTTTTAGGGGTCACAAAGTTACAATTGTTGAAATATTTTATTTAACCCATTATATCCAAAATACTACATGTAATCAATATAAAGACATACTGATACTGTATTTTGCATTCTTTTTTGTGCTTCTAATTATATGCTTTACACTTACAGCACATCTAAATTCAGAGTAGTCACAACTCAAGTGTTTAGATCTACAAATGGCTGGTAGGTACCATTTTATACCACAAATGACCAAACTGAAAGCCTCTGACCTAGGTAATAGGTTTTGTTATCTTTGGATCTTCTTTTGACTATCACACAAAAGGTATCATTTATGTAATGCCAAATTAATAGAAAATATTTTGATTTGGATCATGGAAATATGAAATCCAAATAAATGCAAAGAGCAGATTGGTCATAATGCTAAACAAGGACGTATGAGGACACCAAAAAAACTGCATCAGTGTTTTGGCAATCTGGTCAAAGCCAAACATCTTGCTTAACTTGTTCCTATGGGGTTAACTCTTCCATGTGGAGGGACTGCAAACACTATCAGCAAGAGAAATGGCAACTAAAATTTATTTACTGTGGGCCACTATTCTAAATACACTTATCTCATTTAATTTTCAAGTCTCTATGAAGTTGGGACTATTGTTATGTTTTCATAAAAGACAAATGAGGTTTACAGCACTTAAATGACATGCCCATAATTAACAAGCTACTTGGATAGATTTAAGCTTAGGTAGCTCTTTCAAACTGCTCCATTTCACTCTTTCCCCTAATTTATGGAACATAAACAGGTGAGCCCCATATTAGAGGCTGAGGTAGCTAGAGTGCTGAATAAAAGGCACTGCTTAGAGGTACAGTACCGTATTTTACTGTCAGGCATGTGAATATGAAGTCAGGTAAGAGTTATAATAGGTATTGTGTCTCGGCAATGAGAAAGCTGACTAACATGCCCTCTGATTGATCTTTCTAAACAAATCTATGCAAAATAATTTTGAAGATAACTCCAAATACTTGGAATCATGACCTTTCGATATCAAGCTGTCCTCTACCTCTGCTTTGCTCGTCTGTCTAAACTGCTCATAAGAAGTTAGGGCAAGATCCACTGTATAATCACTGATATTCATTATGCCAGATAAAGGTGAAGAAAAGGGGCTTTTTCACTGACACTTTTCTGTACGATTATAAATTTGCGGGTGCTGCTGGGGGATCATGAACACCAAGATGTTGCACTTTATAGTGATCAGAATAGTTCTGCAAAAGAGAAACAGTACCCGAGGAAAAGCGTATGTGTGAACTGCAGCGAAACCTACGTTTTCTAATTTTCCCCTGCAAGCACAAAGTAAAACTTGATGTGCATGTGCCATATATGTCCCTGAAAGAAAACAGAAAACAAAAAACCCATGCTCTCGGCATTCACCCACCTGGACCTTAACGCGCTCCCCACTCGTGTTCTGGGACCTGAGAGCGTCCCGCACGCTCAGTTTGGATGAAGGTCTGTGTCTCGGGCAGGGCGCGGACGAGCAAGAGCGCAGAGCTCGGAAAAGACACCGGGCCCCCAGCATTGCCCCCACCCCAGGCCTCCGTAGGCCCAGCTCTGGACCAAGAGGGTTCGAACCCTGTCTGCAATGGCCCACTTCGCTCGGCCGCAGCCTGCTGTAAGGCACTCTAGGGCTCCCCAAATCTGTCCCCTACAGAACCGCTTGTTTCCCTGTCCCCAACGGCGCAGAATGGAGACCGCACACTCCGCAAACGCCAAGAATAAACAACGCGGCCGACCACACAGCTCCACACACTTCAACAAGATAATTAAACCCGAGCAGCAAGGTCTCCCACGGGCCCTACGTTACCACGCTAACGTCGCTTACATCATCACGCAACGAGGAGGCTGAGACAGAGCATGCGCACTTGTGTCCCCGTCTAAGGAGGAGGGCCCAGGGCGGGGCGAAGGAAGGGGTGGAACCGGTGTGGCAGGTTTTTCAGGGGTTTTGGCCTGAAGAATCTAGGGAGCACACTTGGAATTAGGTTTTCGAGTCTTCCTCTCTAAAGCTTCCTCCGGAGAAAACTGAGAAACACAGACCCAAGTGCGGACTGATGCAGAGTTTGGAAAGCGTCCAGGAGGAGGCTTTTAGTTCTTGAGAGGAGTGGCCTGAGGATGTCAATTGTTCTGAGCACAGAGGAAAACGGGACCTACTCCCCGCTCAAATCAATTTTGTGGTATCAGCATCTAACAGACAGTTGAATAAGAATGAGCAGGTGCCTGACAGAGCCTAAGCTAGGATACCAGAGAGGGGTTTCTGGTGACGGCACCCTGACAGCTGAGAAACTGAAGAGAGCTTGAGTATGGGTGAGAAATGAAGTCATGGTGGGGGTGAAGCTGCAGGACACTGAAGGAATGCCAAGAGTTGTCTACCGAAATCTTTCTCTCTCTCTCTTTTTTTTTTTTCCAGCAGCCCTCTGCGTTTGTTTGATCTACAAACAGTGACCCTTATATTCAGCAACATTTTAAATTTATATAAAAGTTTTTTCCCCTATCTGTTCTCAGCCTTTTGGCTAGATCAAGTGTAAAAATAGTTTTCCTTAAGTGAAACTCATAAAGTGATTCTATCTAGTTAAATAAAATATAGATATGATGGCTAGTTTCTTGAGGTTGCCACTGTTATGCCCATTTCACAGACGAATGAAGGCACTGAAAGGGTAATGACCTGCTAAACTGTACCAGTGCTGTAAACTATCACGGTAGAGTGCCTCAGGTGGAAACTTCCATTAAGGTCACAGTCTAGTGATGGAGACTGGCAAGAAAAGGAAATCATTGTAATGCAAAGCAATAAGAGCAAGCTTTGGGCTGGGGATTTAGCTCAGTGGCACTGCGCCTGCCTCACAAGCACAAGGTCCTGAGTTTGATCCCTGGTCCCCCCCCCCCAAAAAAAAAGCACTCATAGATTGTATGCACCAAGGGGATTGGCAGTCTAGAGAAGCAGATAAACTGTTGTTTTTTGTTTGTTTGTTTTGTTTTTTAAGGAGGATCAGAGTTTTGTCGAATGAGGCTGCAAAAAAATTTCCTACCAAGAAGGTGGGCAGAAAGAGTTGCCAGGAGGACAAATGATCCAAAAGGACATGAGAAAATATCTCCCATGAAAATACTTGGACACTTCCTGAACCTTGAGAAAGAAAAAAATGGAAACTTGCCGCCTTCAGAATTATGTAGTTATAGACTAAACTGATATTCTGGAGCATGCCTGTAATCCTGGCCCTCAGGCTGAGGCAGAAGGATTGCAAGTTGGAGATAAGCCTGGACAATTCAGCAAGACACTGTCTAAAATAAAAATGAGAAACAAAAAATGGTCAGTGTAGAGGAGAAGGTTACACTCGTACACAGATTGGAATAGGAACTGCAGTTGTGGTTCTGCACACAGAGCCACAACTCAGAAGGTCAAGGCTGCAAACTGTCTTGAGAACCATCTGATAACATTCTGGGAACAGTCGGTTTTGAGAAAGAATATGAATAACTAGAACCAGGTGTTCATAAAAAATATTTTCTGGGCCAGGGTTTAGCTCAGTGGTTCTGCCACCTGCCTTGCAAGCACAAGGACCAGAGTTCGACCTCCGGTAACAAACAAACAAACAAACAAATTTTTTTCTAATGCTTTGCTAGAGATAATCTGTAAGGAGTCTGAGTCTCAGAGAAGGGGGATCCTGACTTCCTTTAGCCATTTAAGTTAAAAGATTAATTACTTTCTAAGCAGAGGACCACCGCTCAGTGTTAATGATAAAAAAGAAACCAGTATGTGAAACTTAAAATTAGTAATGGTTAATTTAAAACATATATTGACAGTTGCCTATAGTATTCATCCTGATGCTGAGTTCAAACCACCTGTGGATCTTGTACTATATCAAATTATACCTTATTTAGTTTTGTTTTCAATTTTAGAATCATTCTTCCCCCTTTAGAGTCATTGTCTTCCAGATAGTACAGAGCGATGTTTCTAAAATAAATGCTACCACATCAGCAATAATGATGGTTAGAGTGTTATATAATACCTACAATGTGCCAGGAACCCTTCGTGTATTAATTCATTTAGTCATCACAATATCCCTGTGAAGTAGGGAAGAAGCATCATCCCCAGGGTTAGGAGGAACTCAAGCTAGAGAGCTTTCATAGCTTGTGCTAAGTTACACTGGCAGTCTGGTTGCAGAGCCCATACTAATACTCATTTTAGCAGTCCTTTAATTTATCTCTTGGTAACACAGAGACCTGCCCTCTACAGCATGTCTGCTAGGCTCTCTCTGATTCAGGGAGCTCCATGAAGTGCCCTGGAGTAAAGAACAGAAGTGAGAAACAAAAATGAATGAGGAATAGAAGTGTTGCCTTTTAATGTGCCCCGTCTGTGCAGTACACAGTGTCAGCATTTCTCATTCGCTCTGGGAAGGTTGTAATCAAGTTCTGCATGACAGGTTTAGCCTACCTTACTCTACAAGTTTCTTGTCATTTTCTCTTAAGTAAATATTTAATTTTTTGTTTGTGATTGTATATTCCCTTCTCTGTGTGTTGGGGGGGTGTTACTGGGGATTAAATCCTGGGCCTCAGGCATGCAAAACAAGTGCTCTACCACTGAGCTATCTCCTCAGCTCTGTGTTCTTCTTCTTGTAGAGGATCTCCCAAATGAAGAAATCTTAAGTCCCATGGAGCTGGATTTGCCTTTGATCACAAGAATACTACAGCAAATGCATCAAAAACATTTGAAAGAATTTCTCTGGATCATAAACCTAGGATATTTGCATCTTTTGCTTTATGAGATACTGCCAAGTTGCTCTCTGAATTGATGGTTCCATCAGGCTTATGAAAGTCTACGAAACTGTCACACCTTCAGTGACAATTGATATAGCCAGATTTCCTAATTTTTGCCAATGATAGGTAAGAGAAAATATTTGTGTTTCAGAGATTTATGTTTTGATTCCATTCCAAGGACAACTCATCACTTTTGATAGCACAGTGGAAAACAACATTAGCCTGGCAATCAGAATTCTTGGTTCAAACATTATCTGCACAACCCACTGTAGAACATTTGGCAAGTCACTTAAACTCTGGACTGCCCCCTTGGCTCCTGAGAGTAAGAACTACAACCACTTTGTGATTTTTGCCCTCAAGAAATGTATGTTTTATCTGATTAAGGACCTTCCATTAGTCATACATGTTATTTTAGAGTTACAGAGTCTTCTAAACTTAGCCAGGTCTGTCAGACCCTGAAGTAGAAATATCATGAATAATCCCATCTATTTGTGTACATTTCTTTTATGCACAGTCCTTCAGCATATTTAAGAATCACCTGACAAGCTATTAAAATGCAGATTTCTGGATCTCTGGCCCAGTGAGTCCAACTAAGTAGGAGATACACTGCTTGCTCTGACTAGATTGCCCTTTTTCTGGTTTCCAGAGGCCCTCATTGAGGCTTGCACTTCTTTTGTTGTGCTAGGTTATCTTCTTCCTCCTCCACCTCATCTTTATTTTAAACTTCTAATGCACTTTCAGAGAAATTGTAACAAAACAACCTACTGCCTAAGGTACCTTTCAGGTTTTGTGGGGACTGGGTAGGGTAGGACCTCAAAGCACTGCAGCAGCCTTTCCCATCCCTGGCTCTGCAGACCCACACCATCCAACTGCAGCTTCTCCACCTAGGACATTTGAGTGACCTCAGTCTTCTTAGGGAGAAGGGTGAAAATGAGAGTGGAGATAAGCCGGAGTTTGCTTAAGCCAGTGGTTTCCAACTGTGGCCTTTATGCAGTAGTCTTACACTCTGCCAATAGTAAATCCATAATTATGATTCACCTAATCAATTCAGTGAGTTTGACCATCAGAATAAAAAGGAATAAAAAAAATCCACATGCATCTCTGGTAATAGCAGTAACTCCTGCTTGGTGAAAGTTGTAGTGGCCACTATATAAAATATATTTCCTCTGTGGATCAGCCAGAAACAGTTTAAAATAGTAGGCAGACCCTACCATGTTGGCTTAGTACCATATTGGCCTAGTGAACAGAATTAGGCTTCTGCCTAAGTCTCCTACTCAGTCCTCGAAGAAGGATCCAGATGTTTGGAGAATAGCTGCTTTGTGGTATTTTTGTATGCAGCTGATTTTCAGTGTTTTCTTTGAAAAATGTAAACAAACTATATTAGTAGTATGATAAAAAATAATACACAAACATAAAAAATTTTAGGCAGCGATAAATGGTATATAATTAAAAAGTAGAGGTCACTTCACCACTCTATTTCCACGTATGATGCTCTGTGAGAGCTACTAGTTATCTTTACATAAAGTTTTTAGCCATATAACACATATTGCATATATATATATACAACTAAATGTGATCTACTTGTTTTATGTCTTCTTTTTGCTTATAGTATTTTAAAAATCTTTCATACAACTGCGTGCAAAGCATTTGCATTAATTATAACAGAAGGATACTTTTATTATATGGAAAACTATAGTTAATTGAACCACGTTCTGCACTGAGCATGTTGGACACATGTAGCTTGTGCATGCAGGACAAAATCTACAAACAAAATCAAATTAGGACCAAAATTTTGTTTTAAAAATCTCCTTAAACCAGGTGTGGTGGTATACACCTATAATCCCAGCACTGGGGAGGCTGAGGCAGGAGGATCACTGTGAGTTCAAGACCAGCCGGGCTACATAGTGAGTTCCAGGTCAATTTCAACTACATAGTGAGACCCTGTCTCAAAAAAAAAAAAAAAATGTCCTTAATGTCATCTTGTGTCCATTCACTCTCTTCACTTCCATTTTAAGATCTTAACCTTGTCCAGGTTGGTTTTAGTAGCCATGGCAC